TTTTATTTTTATTTAATTTTTTTTTTTTTTTTTACCGACATTATTATGAAACTACTTTGGTTTACTAGAAGTAAACGCAATATGTTCTTACATTTTTGTTTTTAATCACCGATTTCATGTAAACTAATTAATTCTATTCTAGCTTCACTTTCCTTCAACGTTTTTGCCCAATGAAGTTCAGTTCTACAGAACATTTCAGGCATTGCTTGAGTTTAGTTTGTCGAAACTTCAGGCTACAATTTATTTAAAACTTTGTATTCACAATTCAAACAACCTGAAACAATACCAAAGGGCACCTTTTGATATTGACCTCAATTTACTTGTGATTCGGAATTGATGATGAAGTTAGTTCACTTTCGACTTACTTTAGTCTTGTTTTCCGGTCATTGTCTTGCAGACTTACAATCAAACAATCAAACTCGCAACTGAAGAGCTTGTTCTAGGTTTCTTATGGTACGAAAAGATGTGCCTTAGCAAACTTTTAATTTAATTGATTCTTTTGATGGGCACATCAAGCTTTGATTCCAACAGGAAACAATAGGCTTAATGAAATTTCAAATAAATAAATGCAATTTATTATATATATACAATTAATAAAATTCTTATTAATTCCCTACATATCTCATCACCTTAATTCTTTCTAAGGAACTCTTAATATTAAAAAAAAAAAAAAAAAAAAAAAAATTATTTTATAAAAATTTTACTCATAAAATAAAACTTTTATTTATTATATACAATATTGTTATTATTATTTACATGTATTTTTACTGTGTTCCTTTGAAATATTCACCCTAATATAGAAATGTGCTAAATTTAATCTGAAATTAAAATTGTAAACCGAAATCGAAATTCAAAATTATTTAGTAAAATTTGTTGAGCAGCATAAATTCTGATAATTAATTAGCCTCTGTGAATTTTTATGTTTTCTTTATCATGTATTTTTATATACCCAAAAACAAAAAACAAAAAGGAAAACAAAAATCATTATGAAATTCCTTTGCAGAGCTCTTGGGCGCTCTGAGCTGGTCCATCTCGATGCTGGCCATACCGTTTGTGGTCTCTCTGTGCCGGAAACGCTCCATACGTCTGCTCTCGATTGTGGGGGGCCTTGTGATGCCGCTGGGCATTCTGTTCACATCATTTGCCACGGAATTCGGTCAGGTTGTTTTTAGCTATGGTGCGTATATAAAGTCTATAAGTTATATATTCGTATGTCAGAGAGGGGGAGAGTGGGGAATATACTTAAGCTGTATACCGGAAGTGCTGCTCACCATTTGGGTTTGCTTGGCAGGCATCGTCTTTGGCATTGGCGTTTCCATGGTGCGTGAAGCCTCCACCGTGATGCTGGGCAATTACTTTAAGCGTCGCCGGCAATTCGTCGAAATGGTGGCCATGTCCGGCGAGGGCGTTGGCATCGCTTTGTTCTCCGTCATCCTGAAGGAGGGCGTGGGCAAGGCCGGCTGGCGCCTGGGACTGCAAATCGTTGCCGCACTCACGGCGCTCAGCTTTTTCATGGGCCTCATGTATCGACCGGCTTCCCTATACCATCCGCAACGCCGTGCCATTCAACATCTCAAAAATCAACGCAAAAAGGTGAGTAAAGAGAGAGAGAGAGAGAGAGAGAGAGAGAGAGTGAGAGAGAGCGAGCCATATGAAGCCCTATTGTTGTTGACTGTGACTTTTGTGTTTAGCTGCGCGAGAAGAAGCCCAAACTGACGCAGGAAGTGGAGTCACCCACTAAATACTTATTCCTGGACATATCATCATTGAAATCGGCGACAGTTAAGATCCTATTGATGACTTCCAGTGTGGCTGCCTTTGGCATCTATACGCCCATGTTCCTGATGGTGAGTGAAATTCAATTTCGCCTAATGTCAATTTTACAGCTTTCCTCTCGTCCACTAGGCCCTCAATGCTGCCAAGGAGGGCTCCGATGTGCAGGAGCTGGTGCTGCTGCAAACCTTTCTGGGCATCTCCATGGCCCTGGGCGTTGTGCTGGCCGGCGCTCTGCTGCGTCGCTGCTTTGTCATACGACAATTTGTGATCAATACCAAAATTGTTGCGCAGGTAAGTTATGAAGAGCTTTTGATTTTGATACTCTTTATATGGATGTGGCTGCTTGACCGAGTGCTTGTGAATAGCTACAGGTTATTTATATATTCCTATATTTATATAGTCAACAACTGCTGGTGAAGTGTTTGATAAAGTGTTTGAAAAAATATCGAATTCGATTCAATTATTGAACGATTGGTAATGACTGATTAATTTATCAGAATATAGCTAACATAACATTCAAATAAATAATGATGTGATATATGCCAACATAAGAGAAAAAGATTGAGCCAGTAGTTATTTAATTACCTTATTGATTGACATCAGCCGATTCGAAACTAAATAAAACTGAATCCTAATTAATAATAGCAATAAGTTTATTTGGATTGATAGATTAATAGAATAATAAAGACATTGAAATTCAGCTGTATAAAAGAGTACAGATCATGTGAAAGCTTAGCTCATAAAATAAATAATATAATATTTTTTTCATCTGTTGAAGATTAGTTAATTAAATATAAATTCACGTATTTTCATTTACCATCTTAAAAGCTATTTAATGACTGCAAAACTATAAATTGAAACTCAGCCAAACCACGAGAACGTGGCCAACTAATTGTCAAATTAAAATATAAATTATTTAAATTTTATAATCCGTAAGCTCGCTAATGTGCCTTTGCGGGTGGGCAATGCGGGAAAGATGAAATATTTGTTAACATACACAGAGCTGGTGGGCATCCAATCTAGATGCCCATATCTGAGTTGAAAACTTAATTAAACTCAACTCTTTCGTTCCATTTGCAGCTGTTTATATCCATTGTGGCGCTGGCCATACTATTCCTATCCTTTGTCATGGGCTACAAAGGACTCTGCATACTCAGCTGGCTGTACGGCATCGGGCTGGGTGGCTTTCAGTACTCGCTGAAGATTTTGGCACTGGAGCGCATCAAGCTGAAGCACTTCTCAAAGGCCTGGGGTAGGTGTTCACCCGTGTCCCCACGGCTCTCAATTGGAGTTAATGTCTCGCTTAACTTCTGCTTTGCAGGCTTCATACGGGGCGTCGAGTCGGTGCCCGTGCTGATTAGTGTGCCCCTCACCTCGTTTCTCAATGACTATTCGCTGAAGTATGGACGAGCTGGCTATTATATATGCTCTGCGGCGGCTGCTATCTCGGGCATCATCATCTTCTTCATTAGCGAGTCGCAGGACCAGCAGCATCAGCAGCGCGGCAATCTCAATGGGCATCTGCCGACGCCGATGCTGATGCGGCACTCCTCGGCGCGCCACCATCGGCCGAACCTGCACTTGGATTATGGCTATGGCGAATATCCCGCTCCCGATTTGCTCAGCCGTAGCTGCATTAGTTTGAATCAAATGGAGCCTTATCTGCAGGCCAGCAATCCCCACTATTGTCAACGTCACATGCTGCAACAGCCGCTTGCCACGCCCACGCCCACGCCACATCATCATCATCTGCCTGTCCAGCATATGCATTCGCATTTACATCAGCATCCCCATCCCCATCCGCATCCGCATCAGCATCAGCACTCACACCAGCATCCACAGCCGCATTCACATCCGCATCCGCATCCGCATCCTCATCCCCAGCAGTTGGGCTGCCACAATCTGGACATGCAGCCGGCCCGCCTGCCCTATCAGCTGGGCCAGGGCAGCATCGGCGCCAAGATGGGCAAGCGACTGCAGCGCAGCCTCTCCTTCATCCAGCAGCACAACTGCTGCGACGGCCAGATGTACTGCAGCTGGCACAGCACCTACGAGCTCGGCTGTCGCAGGTCGCCCAAGTAAGTAAGATCGATGCACTTGATATCTGGCGAGCAAGAGCTGCTTGTACCTAATTAGTGTTTACGGCTAAAGGCTGGCTTTGCTAAAGCCAGTATTAGTGCTAAATTAGATAAGCCAATCAAGCTATTTTACAGCGGGACTCTAATCAAAGCTGTACAGACAGATAATTTGATTCATTTCTTATATTTAATTTGAGCAAACCTCCATATATATTAGCGGTATATCAATGCTAGATTCGCTTAGCAAATCTCCACTTGGAATTCCCATACCTCAGATTGATTTTTGAGAGTTCATTAGTAAAGCATGAGTTTGACAGCATCTTGCTTCAGTGAAAGCAAACCTTTTCCTTTTCGTTTCTATCATCAATTTACAGCATGAAATGTAAAAAAGTGAACGTCCATCCTTCACTTGCTGGCATCAGAATGTTGCTTGCTTACAAATTGCAGTGGCGTTATCCTCACAGTTTAATTTGTGTGCTTATTAGATCTGAAATAAGTCAATTAGTTGGTCAGTCAGTCAGTTAATTAGTGAACCATGCTGGCGTCAATCAGTCAGTAAATCATTCAACCAGTTAGGCAATCAATTAGTCAGTAAATCATTTAGTCAATTAGACGACTTATCACTTGGCGTGTTAGTCAATCAGACATACAGCGAGTAAGCAAATGAGTCAATCAGCTAGTCCGTCAGTGAATGAACCAGTAAATCAGTCAAAACTTATATGTCAATAACATAATGCAAATCAGTCAATGAATTGACAAGTCAATCAATTAATCAATCAATTAGTATCCAATCAGCCTTTAAATGACTTACTTTAGTTGTCAGTCGATCAGTCATTTATTTAATTAAAATAATTACATGTGTAAATTTTTAAAAGCAGTCAATCAATCTAGGGTCAATAAAACTAAACTTAAGCAAAATAATATATTCAGTCAAGCTAACAGAAATTCATTCAGTCATTTAGTCATTCAGTCAATCAATTAATTATTACTTCAATCAGCATTTTATTGCTGACTCAGATAGTCAATCAATCTTTGATTGAGCATACCGTTTCAAACGTTTCTCAATTAGTCAGTCAATTGGTCATCAATCTCTTTTCAAGTCAATTTGAGTCTTACAATCAATCATTAGTTCAATCAAAAGCTTACTCAGTCAACGAGGCTATAAGATATTCAATATTATGTGGTTAATCAATCAATTAACTAAAACTGAAATAATCAAAAGCGGACCCAAGTGTCAGTCAATCATTGATTGAATCAGAATATCATTTAAGACTCGAAGCTTAATAGATATAAATGCCACAAGAATATTTATTAATATTTTATATTTTTATGTAAATGTAATATTTCTTAGCCGCGAATTTCCCACAGAATTTATTGAATGGGTAAATGAACTTCTGATAATAATACTCGAATATTTGAATGATTACTTGAATGAACGAACCTGTATGCCATGTTAACTGTATGCACTTGACGGCAATCGAGGCTGAGTGCTTGCATTCGGCTTGATTAGGTTTTTCGGTAATGTGTAATGGGTGGGCGGCATGGATTGGCTAGTTAACGGGTAACTGACGTTCAATTATCCAAACTACTGACGCGCTGGTGGCAAATGCCGTGAAGCCCTCGAAAGGCAATGTGTAGTTGTTCGGCTTCGTGTCGGCGTCAACAAAATGTCAACAACATCATTGCACTTGCACTTGCGCTATTTATGCAGCTGAAGCAGGTCTCTAGAGTGTCTCCCCATCTCACTCTCTACACATCTCTCTTTCTCTCTCTCTCTCTCTCTCTCTCTGACTGTCGACGTGTTTATTTGCAGATCTCAGGACAGGCAGCCACTCATATGTACTTGCAGTCCCAACTCGACCACGTATGGAGGAGGAGGCGGCGTCGGCGGCGGCAGTTCGGCACGCAGTCGCAGCGTGCCAGAGGGCCTATCGACCATGTCGCAGCAGTGTAACTGCCGTCATGGGGCCGGCCTGGCAGCTGGGGCTGGGCCATCCCGTGAGTTTATCTACGTGCCGCACGCCTACGCCTCATTGCAGCGAACGCCACATCGACAGAGTCGCCATGCCGGAACAGGAGCAGGAGCAGGAGCTGGCAGCAGCTGTCAGGCATCCAGAAGCAATCCGCAATGCCGGCTGAAGCGTTCTCAATCGCTAAGTCGTCCCGTTCATTTCGTAGAGCAAATCACCACCTCCGTCTAGGAGCGGGCGGGCTGACTTAGAGTTATTTTGTAGTGTACTCCAGTTACGTGAATCGAATTCCGAATTGTCACTTCTTTCTAGTCTTTTGTCGTAGTTAGTAGCACGTGCTAAAATCCAAGTCGAAAAATCCCACAAAGAAAAAAGAAAAACACAAACAACAAAAAACAAAATAAAAGTCGCAACTTGATGAATTTTCTAAAAACTCTAAACCTATTATGATATACAATACTATTCTGTGCGGTTTCAGCGCATTGAATTTGTCGATTTCTAAAACATAAACTAAGATTAATAAAACTCACACACACACACACCTACACAAACTCTCTCACACTAACACACTCATACTGTTAGCAGACGAAAAGCTTTATCATTGTCTCAATACAAAAGTATTTAAATGAACTTTGCTACCAGGCAAAAAATTATCATAACAAAAGAAAACGCAACAAAGAACAAACAACAGAAGAATAAAATAAAAATCGAAAGATAAATATTAACAAACGAATAAACAAAGAGGTCAAACACCAGAGCGGGTCGAACACATATTAAATGGTCCATTTTAATACAAACATACAAATTATCCACCGATACCAATACGAAATATACTCGAGTCGTGCCAATTATACGGGCGACGGCACACTTTCAGTACTTTATTTTTAAATTCAATATTCCATATATGTATACATATTTGTATATGCATATTTACATGTAGTTGGCCGCGTGCGAAAATACTCGAAGCACTTTTGCCAATTTTACCATTCGTTGTGGGATTGAGCCTTATTTTTAAAGAAGCGCATATTAAGATAATACGGTGATATCAATAATATCACATTGATGTCATCATTTTAACTCCAAGCAGCCAGGTAACTAATTAATTGTGAAAGGGACATATGTGCAAATACTTAAACAGAATTGAGTTAAGACAAGGAGTGAACAGAAATTAAATTTGAATTGTAAATTCAACAATTAAACGAGGCGCAAATTCAATTATATTCAACATAAACTAAGCCTTGAATTCATTAAATTAATGAATGAACTAAAAATACTATTGAAATATCTACGGTATACCGAAGATCGTATACCCTTGCAGACAAGTTAGAGAAACTAATATGGATTTAGTGTAGTTGAAATAGCTGAGAATGATTGTCTGTTAAGGAACGAAACATAGACAATATTTGTCTAACCTAACTTTCTAATTTTATTTAGATAACTTTAGAAATTTTCTTACTTTGTTTCAAAAAAAAAAAAAAAAAAAAAAAAAAAAAAAAAAAAAAAAAAGATTTAAGCTTTTTTATTTTCTTTGAGCCATTACATACAAGTTTAAGGTTTATCATTTATTAAATTTATGAACAGTTAATTTAGATTACTTTTGGCAGTGACCGACGTGAAATGATTCCAAACTCAATAACTAACCATAAAAGCGATGCATCTAATACTTTTCCGCTCTCCTCTGTCGTTTGGTGCCGAAGTAAAGTTCTCAAACCACGAAAGTTGATTTAAGTAAGACCAAAGTTTTGCCACACTAAATGACTTTTCCAATACGAGCAGGCATCGAAGCGGAAGCTGAAAAGTGATTTCTGGATTTGTGTAAACAAATTTTCATAAGACTTATGGTCGTTGAGGATAGGGACTGGCCAAAACTTGAAGCTATTTACACTCCAATGTAGATGCATGATAATCAAAACAAAATGAGTGCTTAAATAAATAAATCTAATAACACATGCCAGATTTAGTAAGCAAGAATCACGCCTAAGCTAAACCATCTTAATTTCAAAAAGTTCTCCAAAAGTTAAAAAAAAAAAAGTAAATTCCGTTCCTTCACTAAAAACATAAATTAAAATTTCATATTATGTGCCAGTAATAGCATTAGTGAAACATTACTAATATGTTCTCATATTATACTTATATTAAAGGACTTAGTGCTTATCTCAGTAATCCCAATGAAAATGGTAAATCAGGGTATTATTGTTTTCCTTTACTTTTAGATTCTAGATTCAACATATCTAAGAAGCCAATAATTAAATTTAATTTTATCTCCGAAATTTTTGACAAGCTATCTTAGCTTAAATATACCAAATTTTTAATAAATTTAGTTAACATTTCAATTAAAGTAATTCGACCATAGTTGAAATAAATAGAAATGCCAACTGAATTATGAATGAACCAGCTACCGCACTCCACTCAAATTCTATTCAAATATGTTAAATTGCTGGCTAATTTGCGCTTTTCATTTTTGCCATCAACAAAACATTGTGAAACAGTTTCGCTCCCGTTATGTGTCAACACCTGTCCTATCGCAATGATATATTTTAGCTCAGCACAGGGGGGTAGCATTTAATGCGGGCTTGGTAATTTATTGATAGATATTTGAAACAGTCTGCAGGGGTATCCAAAATACGCAAAATATTGCCTTGAGCAACACCAACAAACTGCCAAAATATGCAATAAAAGCCAATTTACTATAAAATAAATGTCAAAAACGGACAAACTGAAAATTTCGATGTCATAAAAAATAACCGCGTAATTACATATAAATTCTGCTCAAAAACAATTTTATCAAAACTCATAAGAAAAAAGAAAAAAAAAAAAACTTTTCATTTTCTTTTCGTGTGACGCAATTTGCGCCATTTGTGTTCAGTGCAAAAAGTTTGCATAAATTTAACATAAATTATTTACACACACACAAACACCCACACTCACATGCACCCACATATACACTGACACACGCACTCACACATAATTCATGCATATCTAAATGCGCCAATCTACGCTCGAAACAAAATACTATTTCAATTTGTCAAAAAACTAAAAGAAAATTAAAAAGAAAATAAAACTATTTAACTTAAGGTAAAATTGTAGTTAAAAACATTACATTAGATATGCAAATTTTTGAACTAGGCGCCGTTGCGAGATCTTTTCGCTGGCTACTCATAAAACTTGTACTTTAATAATTGAATTTGTAACTCTTTATCATTGGTAGCTTAGTGATAAATGTTAAAATAAAGCAAATAGAAAATCGTAAATTGCAAAGCCTCTAATTCTGGGTCTCAGCTGCAAGCTGAATGAGCCGCCGCAGGAGTGGATATTAAATTCACAGCTCGGGGTTAGCCACGGATCGCGCAGGTCCTTTGGGCGGAGTCAAAAACCGCAATAAACTTTTATTTATTACGTGCTAAAAATTAATAAAATCCTAGACCCGAAAAGGTTCACGCAAATGTCATATTTTATTTATTAATTAATGGCATTAACATAAAGCGTCAATTTGTGCGAGCGAAAATACACGCCTACACACACGCCCACACACACGACTCTAATGCCAGGCGATTAAAAACTTTGACCCCAAAGCGAAGTTGAAGTCAGGCTCCATTTCCGTTTTATAATATGTACATATAGCCCGGAGCAACGTTATGGAACGTGCCTAGACTACAAAACAGTCGACAACAACAACAACAATCGAGACAGCAACAGCAACAATAACAATGGGCGACGGCGTCAATGACATGCTCAATTTTTCATGCATTATGCTGGCGCACTGTGCGTATGCTTAATATTTGCCTGATATTGACTTGGGCACAAAGCACAGTTAAGCTCGGCAATATTTGCGCCGTCAACTGAGGCAGGCCAACAGCGCTGAACAGGCAGCACAGGCAGGCAGCCCGTCGAGAAGACCTCGACAGTGAAGCCGTAAAGCCAGCCCAAAATGCAGAAGACAATTTGTGCCGCCAGCCAGAGAATTTATATAAATGTCTTACGACTCATACAACTATGCCAAATGTGTGTGGGTGTGTGTGTGTGTGCCGTAAATACAAACAGCTGAAAAGGTAACTGTATTGTATGTGTATCTGTGTGCGTATGTGTGTGTTTTGCGTGTTGGCTCTAGTCCCAATTCAGAGCATTTCCCTTTAATTATTCAGTTTGTAGCTGCAAAACGCTCACGTCGATTGAGATCTGTATAGAAAATTTATAAATGACATTTCGAATTACTATTTCAATTTTAGTGTAAATTTGTAATCAATTAAAGCTAAGTAAAATATGTGCTAGACGTAATTGCGATGGGTCAGGTAAATGTGCGATGAGCTTTTTGAGGGAGAGAGAGAGGGAGAAAGAGAGAGAGAGAGATTGGAGAGAGGGCATAAAGATTAATTAAAGTTTTCACAGCACTTTAATTGAAATAGGGAATTGAGATTTCATCGAGTGACTGAATTGTATCAGTGCTTAGAGCAACTGACTAATGGATAATGTAAGCTTCAATTTCACATTGAACATATATTAAACAGATTTTCTCTTTCACATAACTGAATCCATAAAGTATTCTGCAGGACTTTCCCATTTTTATAACAGAAATTTTATTTATAATTCGCACTTGTAAATGCTTCTTTAGTTGGCTGTTGCTATGGAGCGACAGACTAGGCTGGTTCTTATTATACATAATTAGGCTAGAAAGATGGAAGAATGTATTCATAAATCATATGAAGATGAAGATGTATATGTGTATGTATAAATTAATATTAATTCAAATAAATTGAGTGCAAGGCTTCGCTGTCAGTTAATTAATTAGGCATGAAAAGAAGTTGAATGAATGGGTTAATCAAGTCAAATGATAAGGATTGAGTGGGCAACACGTTGAACAAGAAGCAGAAGCCAACGTAGAAGAAGAAGTTTCATGTGGCAAAAATGATATAATGCCTGAGGGAATATGAACGGATATGGCATGTCGGTCCGCTGTCAAGGGTCGCGTTAAGACTGGAAGAGTGAACGCTTCAAGAGCACAACAAAAGAAACTTTGAGTTGGGAAGTTTTTCATTAAGTAGAAAGAAAATACATGTTGCCGATACGCGAAAGAGCATAAAAGGCTCGTCGTTGTTTCGAATCGAACTTTTGTTCAGCTTCCGCCCGTTTGAATTCACGGGGGTTGGCAATGGCAACGGCAACGGCAACGGCAACGGCAACAGCAACGGCAACGGCAACGGCAGCAGCAGCAGCAGCGAAGACCGCGTGCAAAAACAGACGCACGCCAAAGTCAACTTCACGCAGTATTTTCGTAAATTTTTTTTTTGGTCGGCAGCTGACAGCCGAAAGCCTAGCCGTGCTCTGGCCAACTGTCTGTGCTGTGACTTTGTTGACACAGCAGCAGCAGCAGCAGCAGCCGTGGTAGCAGCAGCAATGGCAGCAGGAGTAGCGGCAGCAGGCGCTGTCGCTCTAAGCAGCGACGCGGCGTCTCTGCTGCCATGCCATGCGCACACGCACACGCTCTGTTGCCTACTTCCAGGCGCCGTTCATTGTTGCGCTTTTACTGCCGCCAGTAGCTGTTGCCCGCCCCCTTGGCCAACACCTCCTACCGC